GGCCAAAAATGGAGTGAGGAGGGCAAAGCAGAAAAAAGAGGGGAACACAGAGGAAGAAGCTGAGGCTTACTAGATGGTCAAGGGAGCTGGGTGTGGAAGAGAGTATGAGACCGTGAGACGGGATCTTCTGAGCATAGGAGAGACCCGGGAGGCGGGCAGGGCATGACGGGAGCAAGGTCCACTCCTGGATGGAAGACAAAGCAGGGGCCTAACCCATCCCAGAGAGGCACCTCTTCTTATGGCTGCAGGCCATGGCACTTCCAGAGAGGCTGGAGAACCATGGTGTCCATACCATGTCACCCATGCAGTGGTTAATACTGCCAGCCTGACAGGATCCAAAATCAACCAGGAGACACATATCCAGGCAGGCCAGTGACAGCGACAGGTTTACTGAGGTGAAATGGTCCACCCTGTGGGCAGCAATATTCCAAAGGCTGAGGCCCTGGGTTGCATAAAAAGAAACTGCCAGTTGAGCCCTGGCATTTCTCTCTGTTTCCTGAGTGGAGATGCAGCATGACCAGCTGCCTCATGCATGCTCCTGTCACCACCGTTTCCCTGTCAGGCTTCACTGTAAGCTCCAACAGTGACAAACCCTTTCTTAAGTCACTGTTGTCAGCACTTCGTCACAAGTTATGAGTACCATGTGTGGGTCTCTGGCCTGGGAGCCTTCTAGGCCTCTCACAGGCCTGGCCGTCCTTCATACCCCATCCCTTCCCAGGTGCAGACACTGTCAACTCCAGTGTCAGAGGCCAGTCAGACCAGATTAGCCAGTCCTGCCTGCCTAGGTCACCTTTATCACTGCCTGGAGTAATCCCAGGAGCCCAGGCTGACCGCATGTCAACACTCACACTACCCTTTTCCCAGGCATTTCCAGTAGAACTGGCTACACCTTTCTCCATCCACCATAGACTAGAACCCCCTGCTGCCAGCAAGTCATCTGCTTGACTTCCAGTAGACTGGATATACCAGAGCCAGCCAGGATTTGTAAAAGTGGCACTAAAAAGGTGGTTCTAGCACCTTCGTCACCACTGTTGCTCAGCAGTGTCAGGCTACTGACCGCTGCCTGGGCAGCCTGGTTCCTCTGCTTTGTGGCCAGCACGGGCCTCATCTCACACACACTTGTCTGTTCTTATCTTGTCTGGATAAATAGCTGAGAAGATTATGCCAAAGACCAAACTCCCTGTACCTGGCAGACCAGGAGCTTTCAGAAGTCCCTAAAGCCACTATATCAGAAGCTGCCCAGGACCTGTCCAGACCTGAGCCATGGATTCAGAAGGGCGGCTTTCTAACTGGAACCCCCCACCATGGGCACGCTCAGAAAGACCTATCTGTTCCCAACTTCCGGGACAGATGCTCTGCTGAGCAAAACCACTGAGGTCGAGATGGACGTGGCCATTTCCATACTAACTTAACAAATCCTGTGTCAATGAAAAAACCCCAAGCCCACACAAAACACAAGTGTATTGTCACCATGCCTCCAACCTATGGCTGGGCAAGCTGCCGGCATGCTGTGCCACCACCAGGTCAGAAGGGAGACTGCTGATGTGAACTGCCTGGTACAGCAACATCCTTAGAACATAACAGCCACTGTTAGGGCTGGGGTACAAGACCCTCAAAACCGGTAGTGGCAGCTGATGACCCCACTGGTGGGCCCCCCCCACGGGGCATCGCCGATTCTCACCTATGCCCATTACCTGCCCCTGCACCCACCAGGCTGCATGGCATTTTACCATAACTGCACATGGACTTGTGGTTTCAGGGGTTGCTGGAATACGCAGGCCATAGAGGGTTTGCAGGGGGCCGGAAGCCATCACCCAGGCCTGCGGTGTTGCTGCCTTGGAGTCACTCATGTTCTGCAGGTGAACCCAATAAACTAAATGTTCTTTATGTCTGTGTCTGACAACAGATGTTGACAATTCTCCACCGGTATGTAAGTCAAATTCAGATCCCAATCCTCATCCTGCCATCCACGAGGCAACCTCACACCCTGAGTAAAACAGAGCAGCTCTGCTTGGTGAAGTAAGCCTGATTTGGGTCTGTGCTCTCCAGTATGCATTTCAAATCACCCCCAAGGTTTACAGAACATTTAAACAAATACAGCTATAAGATAAGTTTAAATAAACCTCTTTAAACCTTTTATTTAAAAACAAAAATTTGAGATGAGATCTCAGTACATTGTTCAAAATGGCCCTTACTTTTAGGCTCGAGCAATGGTGCTCCCCAGCCCAGCTGTGGATGTCACCTGAGAGCACAGCATGAAAACAGTCCCCCTGACCTGGGGAGGCAGCCTGGCCATTACTGGGATGCACCTTTTTAAAAAGGAAAGGAAAAGGCAGACACAGAAAGGACTCTCAAAAAATTGCATTACTTTATTGCACCAAGATCTTGGCAATATCTGGGGGCCCTGAAGAGGAAGTGGAAGAGAATGGGGATCCCCTACACATACAGATGCAGCCACACAAGAATGTAGGATGTAACAGCCCCTAACAACAGGCAGGTGAGCGAGAACAGAGGCACCAGGGAGCTGGCCCTCTGCAAGTGGGCCTAAACCACCTCTCCTGCCAAGTGCAAACTGACTTGATCTGATCCAACAAAGTGACCACTTTCAGAAAAGCTTTAGTTATTACCTCACCAAGAACGCACTCTGCCCCAGGCAGGCCTGCTTCTAACAGCGTCTAAGGAAAGGACTTGTCCTCACTGACAGCAACGCGCTGCCAGATCAGGATGGCAGGCGGGCATTGGGACTGCCCAAGAGGCAGCGGGTCACTCCCCTGGAAGAGACTTCACAATGTATAATCTAGCAGACAGAAGAAGAAACCCATCTAGAGGAAGCATGGAGACAGGTCAGTTCTGTGCTGACAGAGCTACACCTTTCAACTAGAGAACGTCACAGGAAAAGGAAAAGACATTTACTGCCCCAGAAGCAGCTGCTATAGGAAGCAATGACAACACCTCAAGAGAAATGACAATCCCTGCCCATGAAGGGGCCTGTCTCCCTGCAAGACAATACATGGAGCCCACAGTGCTCCTGGACATGAGATCCCCCACCCACACAGAGACAGAGCACATTCGGCTGGAAGACTCACCCAGCAGGCCCACCATGGAACTGCTGTTCCTCCCTTTATTTCTAAAGGGGAAGAAACAAACAGGAAGGAAACATCCACATAGAAACATGACCTTACCTCCGTGCCACATCTGCAGCAAGTGAGGCCCTGAGCTGGCAACTGAGCAAAATGCTACACATGGAACTGACAAGGCAGCCCCCACCCGTCCCCAGAGGCCCAGACTGAGAGGGCATCCCAAAACAGCCTACTGGGAAACAAGAACCTTCCGGCACCTTCCATCTCCTGGGTGCCGTCTTCCCTCACTGAGAATACTGAAATACTGCCCTCACTGAGAAGTCTTATTTGTTAAACCCTAAATTGCAGGGACAGCTTGAGCAAGACAGGGAAGGCAATCATTATCAATTTCAAAGCACTCACAGAAATGAGCAAATGCAGCCAGTATTTGCATATCAGGTGAACATATTGCTACTGGTAGCCACAGGCCTGGTCAAAAATAAACGCTTTATCATAAGTAGTAAAATAATGGGGGATTCGTCTCCAGAGACCACCACCTTGACAGAGACCCACAGGTTATGGCAAATGTAGAAGCTCAGAAAAGTCTCCCAGGCAGGGATGGCAGCCCTAGAGGCAGAGGTGCTGGCACACACTTCATGGCTCCCCCAGCCCCAGCAGCTGCTGCTTTCGAGGAGGAGATGCACTCGGGGTTGGAGGTGGGGGCAGTGCAGTCACCAGGGTTACTCCTTGTTGCGGCTGACAGTCACACAGAGGCCCCTCTGAGGGGAGAGCCACAGGATAGCTCCAGCTTCGGAGAGCAGAGGAGGTCTCACCAGAAGAGACACCACCACCATGCCACCATTCTGAGTGAAGGACGTGCTCGGAGATGCTAGCCTCAGACTCTTGTCTCTGACAGACCCAGACCAGAACAGGTGGTCTTCCTGCCTAGACCCCAGGGTCTACCGGAGGATGTCTCCACAGGTCAGGCTTTCTCTTGTGAGGTTCATTACGAAACCACCAGATGCCCTGAGCTGAAGTGCCAGGGCTGCTGCGCTGGCTATCTGTAAACAGTGGGACCAGGAGCCTCCACATGGCAGGCTCACAGGGCAGGAGTCTGTACAAGGTCACGCCTCAGATCCAAGTGGACAGCTCTGGGATGCTGTGGCACAGGCACACTGGTCTTCCTGGTGAGAAAAGAGACCATGACAACTCTTACAGCCACAGACCCTTTAAGACATAGTCACACCTACAAATAACTAGTACATGCCAGACACAAGATACACACACACCAAAAACTCTCGCACCAGTCACACAAGACACCAAACACACATACATCACATACACCACACACACACACCAGACAGAACACATATAGCAATGGTCACAGACACCACACACACATGCCACAAACATATCAGACATGGACACCATGGACAGATATATAACATATACACACCACAGCCACACAAGACAAACCCACAAATCAATGCTGGGAGATGTTCTTGTGCACGGTATGTTCAGATGCTGATTTCTGTGTCCCAGATCTGGCTGCATGTGGGCATTTCTATGAAGAAATTCTGGTCTCAATGTTGTGTAAAAATTACTCCCTAATTATCTTTGATTGGTTAATAAAGAAACTGAACAGCCAATGACTGGGCAGAGGAGAGAGCAGGAGGGACTTCCACTCCCAGTCTGGGGGTCTCAAATAGGGATCTGAGGAGGAAGAGAGAAGAGGAAGAGGAAAAAGTAGCAGCAGGAGGCCACAGGGGGAATGAGATGGCAGGTGACAAAGGGCTCCTGCTGGGAACAGCCAGACCAACACAAGTAAGGAGTACCTGCCCAGTTAGAGTTTAAGGCTTGCTGAAAAGCCTCATTAATAGGTGTCTGTGCCGTTACTTGGGAGCCAGGGTGGGTGCTGGAAAAGGT